TGGGAACATATTTACACAATTTTTAAAAATGTACTCCTTTTTGTGTAAGAATTTTTGTCATAACATTTACTCCTTTTGTCTTATATATCTTTCACAAAGGGTGTAAGTTGGAAGAAAAGTATAAGTGTTATGCAAAATTCTTACACAAAAGGAGTACTTTTCAAAGGTGTAAGTATTTTCCGAAAAGGTGTAAGCTTCAAGAAAAAGGTGTAAATTTGATGATTTTTTTTTCCCAAAAGGTGTAAGTGACTTCCGAATAAAGCTTTAAGTGGGGTTTCACAGAGGTGTAAGTTGGAAGACAAAGTATAAATGTTATGGCAAAAATTTTACACAAAGGAGTAACTTTTCAAAAATGGTGTAAGCTTAAGCAAAAAATGTGTAAAATTTTATGTTTTTTTTTATCACAATGCTATAGTGACTTCCGACGAAGCTTTAGTTGCGGCTCACAAACGGTAAAATTCTTGAACAAAGGAGTAACTTTCAAAATGGTGTAAGTATTTTCACGAAAAGTATGAAGGAGTAAAAATTTCAAAGTGTTCATAACCACAAATGGAGTAACAAAGCGTTCATTTCAAAATGTTCGTAAACACAGAAGGAGATACATCAAGTGTTCATTTCAAATGTATTCGTAGTAAACACAAAAGGAGTAACATTTCGAAGTGTTCATAAACAAATTGGGACACCACTGAACAAACTCAAAGGGTTCGTCACCCCGGTGACACCCAAAGCGTCGGTGGCTCCGGTGCTCACAGCCTTGAGATCGGCACCTCCACTGGCACCGCCGCCGCAAATCAAAGGTTTTTTTCTCTCTGGCTATCGATCTGGTCTCTCTGTGTCACATGTCGCCTATTCTCCTCGATGTCGGTCTCTCTCTGTCGATCCCTGTTTATCTCGTCTGTCTCCAGCGATCTTGAGTCTGTCTGTGTCCATTGGGTTCTTTCTCGCGTCGATTTCGTCCTCTGTCGATCTCGGAGTGGCTGCTCAGTCGATCAGTGTCCTCTACGTCTCTATCTGTTGATCCAGTCTTCTCTCTCTCTCTCTTTCTTCTTCCGTTGCCTATATAAAAAACGTTCTCTTTTACATTGACATACTTGGTTGATTTGGACTTGGAGTCGCTATTCGAAGCCTCCCAGACTCGTCGTCTCTGAACGGAGTTGTACTCAGAGAAGGCCAGCCCTCCGAAACGCCCTTCTCTCTCACATTGCCATTATTTGAACAAGACAAATACATGTGCTTTGATTTTTAGGAACTCAGCGTTTTGGGGGGAAAAAACGGAACTTACACGTTTTGTGAGTACTCACCACCTTTGTAAAAACTTACACTATTTGTGAAGGTTACACATTTGTGAAATATTTAATTTTTATAAAATTTACACCTTTCTATGAAAATACTGTTTTTAGCAAGTTTACACCGCTTATTAAAAGCTTACACCTCTTGCTACACAAGGTACTCACTTTTGTCGTGAAGCACAACATGTTAAAAATGTACACCTTTTAAATAGAGTTACATCTTTGGTGAAGACAGTTAAGACCTTTTTTGAAAATTTAATTTATTGGAAAATAAGTTCTTTATAAAGTTTGTTAAAAGAAATTATTTGACAAAAGGTATAACCTTTTCAAAATATGGTTTGTTTGTTCGAAGAAGTGTAAATGACCATAGAAAAGATGTAAGTTTTGTTTTTCACTAAAGGTGTAACTTGAAATAATAAGTGTAAATTTTACGAAAAAGTTTTTCACAAAATGTGTCATTTTTCAAGAAGTTGTAAATATTTCCGAGAGGAGGTGTAAATTTTTAGGAAAGGTGTTAAACTTTGTGATTTTTACAAAAGGTACAAGTTCCCAAATAAGACAACCATCGAAGCTGAATGTTTGTTTTTACAAAAGATATAAGTTCCCAAAGAAGACCAATCCGAATTAAAGCTGAATGTTTCGTTTTTGAAAAGATCCAAGGTGTAACTTTTACTAAAAATTAATGTAATGTAAAGATAAAGTTCCAAGGTGTAACTTTTATGAAGAAAATTAATTTATAAATATGTCAGTTTTCATTAAAAGGTGTAGGTTGTCAGAACAAGTATAAAACTTAAAAAATGCCGAAGTGTTCAGAAGAGGTGTAAGTTCCGTCGGCCCGTCCGTCTCTCTTCCATCTCGGACCTCTCTCTTTGTTTGTCTTTCTTCTGCCCGTCTCTCCGTTGTTCCATTTCCCCGTAGCTGTAGGGTTTTACAGAGAACAATATTTGAGTGTGAGCTTAAGTTCTTGGGAAGGCTAGCCATGGAAGTGGATGCGTAATAATACTTTTTTTGAGTTGATTTTTGTCGGTGGAGCACAACCGCAAGGGTTAACGAGCACCACCGTCGGTTCGTCTGATCCGGTTGGTATTTCCTTTATTTCGTGCTGGTACATTATCTGTCTCCTTGTTTGTCTTCTATCATTCGCATATACCTTCACACCCAACCCGAAATCGACCAATAGGAACTGTTCTGTACTCCATTTTGTTGTTTGTGCTATTCGAATAGGAACTCTTCCCTCTGCTAACCGAAATGAACCCAATAGGAACTGTTCTGTACTCGTATTTTTGTATTTTCTCCCTTCGAATAGGAAGTCTTCCCTCTGCTATCAGTGCTGCAAGTTGAACATAGGTATGATAGTAGTTAGCAACAAGATAAAAGGTGTTCTGCATTTACATGGCGAACTTGTTATGTTGGGTTATATATAACGAAAGAAGACTTTAAAAAAAATTTGTTGTAATGTTGCACGGAAAAACAAATTTTTTTTTTTTTCGAGTAGCCAAAAAGCAAAAATAAGAAACTCGATAAACAAACAATGACTAATCTTGTTTCCGCAACAGGTAGCACACTCGTTGAATTTGCTTTAAATTTTGTGTACTCGGTGATTTTATATGCCGGAACTTATGTTTAGAAACAATCTGTGGTACACGGACTCTTCAAAATAGATCAAATACCCGTGTCGGACACCTGAGAGTCGGACAAGGGTATGGGATATGTGTCGGATACTTTTCAACGGACACTTCTTATATAATTGTATAAAACACAATTATTATATGTGCAAATTATTGTGAAATTACTATAAATGTGATTTTGACACCGTGAGTTACATATAGTACCATTTTATGCACATATTAGATTAAAAATATGATATTTTTTCCCCACACGTGTACCATTGAATGTAGGGTTAAGATATAATGAGTCGGACCTGTACATGCATACCGCACCGGACCCGTACCCGAGTCCGTGTAACACAGTAAACAACTCTTTCTTTCAGTGCTGAAGTTCATGCATAGTTGACGGTATTCAACTTAAAACATAGGAAAGCCAATTGAAAGAGTTGAAATGAGGATGACGATTTCCAAATTTTGTAGAGAGCTATTCGTTCCACACCCAATTCTGAATCAAGAGTTGAAGCATTCACTTTCATGGCTAGCCTTTCCAACAACTTAAGGGCCGGAGACGATGGTTGAAAACCAATACCTTCTCCCCACCTGAGTCGGAGCACCTAACAGATTAAGGAAGAAGTTTGCCTTTAGTCCTTGTCTAATATCCAACTTTTCTAAGATGTGGTCCATCCGGCATCGTCAATGCCCTCTGTTTCTGTGTTGACGTGTCTGTAGGTGAAATCTTTAGGAGGATCTCAACTGTGCTGCACATACAGTGTGCTCCCATCCCAGGTGATGTTCAACTGCTTAACGAAGTTGTTCAGTTCTTCAACTTCACGAATTGTCGTAAGGGTGAGGTGAAGAAATTCAGAGAAGTCAACAAGCCCAGGCAATTCACGAAGAAAATCTAATTTGTAGAAATGGACAACCTTGCCTGTCATTGCACGCAACTTTTAATGACGGTTACCTTTCTGTTGAAGTTATCATTTGCATATATATACAGCAGTTACATTTGAAGAGGAAGGTAGCTGTCATTCATGAGTTGCGGGCTGTTGAGACTTATTGAGCGTAGATGAAATGCGTACTCTCATTTGTCTTTTTATGACCTTCGTGCAGAATGAAGAATGGATGGGTACGTTAGTAATATTTTTTGGCAGGAGTGGCAGTCTTGCTTGTTTCATTGTCCATACAATTGATGAAACTTGTTTGTCAACCACGAAAAGTATTCTTCTCTGATCTGCCCCTGTCTGAGCACCCGAAGGTAATGGAGCACGGGCCAGGATGTCACCCACCTCGATTCTCTGCAACCAAGTTGCTCAGTAGGAAATTGAAGCCCTCAACTTGATGGCTGGCCTTGCCACAACTTAAGTGGCCGGAGAGCGATGGCTTTGCAAAACCAATACCCTTCTCCACCTGAGTCGGACAACCCTAACAATTAAGGAAGAAGTGCCTTCAGCCTTGTCAATATCCACTTTCTAAGATTGGTCCATTCGGGCAATGTCAATGCGCTCTTGTTTCCTGTGGTTGAGCGTGTCTGTAGGTGAACTCTTTAAGGGGGATCTGAACTGTGCGTGCACATACAGTGTGCTCCCATCGAGGTGATGTTCAACTTCTTAACTCGTTGTTCAGTTTCTCAACTTCACGAACTGTCGAAGGTGAGGTGAAGAATTCATAAAAGTCAACAAGCCCAGGCAATCACGAAGAAAATCTCATTCGTCGAAATGGAAACCTTTGCTGCATTGCACGCAACTTTTGAAATGCGGTTACCTCCCTTGGAGTCATCTGATATATATACAGCATTACATTTGAAAGGAAGTAGTTCATCATGGTTGCGCTGTCTGACTTGATTGAGCGAGAAATGAAATGCGTACTCTCATTTTCTTTTTTATGACCTCGTGCAGAATGAGAAGGATGTACGTAGTAATTTTGTTGCAGGCGTGCAAAACTTCTTCCTAATCTGTTAGCTTGTGCGACTCAGGTGGGAAAAGGTATGTTTCAGCACTCTCCGCCGCTTAAGTTGTTGGCAAGGCCAGCCATTAAGTTGAGGGCTTCAATTTCCTACTGAGCAACTTGGTTGCAGAGAATCAAGGTGGCTGCATCCTGGCCCTGCTCCATTACCTTCGGTGCTCAGACAGTGGGCAGATCAGAGAAGAATACTTTTCCGGGCGTAACAACAAGTTTCATCAATTGTATGCGACAATGAAACAAGCAAGACTGCCACTGCCTGCCAAAAATATTACTAACGTACCCATCCATTCTCATCTGCACGAAGGTCATAAAAAAGACAAATGAGAGTACGCATTCATTCTCGCTCAATAAAGTTCCAACAGCCGCAACTCATGAATGACAGCTACCTTCCTCTTCAAATGTAACTGCTGTATATATATGCAAGATGATAACTTCAACAGAAAGGTAACCGTCATTAAAAGTTGCGTGCAATGACAGGCAAGGTTGTCCATTTCTACAAATGAGATTTTCTTCGTGAATTGCCTGGGCTTGTTGACTTCTCTGAATTTCTTCACCTCACCCTTACGACAGTTCGTGAAGTTGAAGAACTGAACAACTTCGTTAAGCAGTTGAACATCACCTGGGATGGGAGCACACTGTATGTGCACGCACAGTTGAGATCCCTCCTAAAGATTCACCTACAACAGTAACCTACGCCGAAAAGTATTCTTCTCTGATCTGCCCACTGTCTGACCACCCAAGGTAATGGAGCAGGCCACGATGCAGCCACCTCGATTCTCTCAACCAAGTTGCTCAGTAGGAAATTGAAGCCCTCAACTTGATGGATGGTTTTCATCTGGTTTTTGTGCCTAGGATGAGCACCAATTTTCTCACAGAAGAATCGTGTCCTGATTGTTTAACCCCGTCATGAAATAGTTCAGTTGCTTCTTTGTCTTTGTAGGCGGCCTTCATAAAAGTATGTGCGTGTAGTCCTTCAGCCCTAAATAAAAAAACACATGTAGTCCTTCCTCTTAATATTTGTGAAATTATGCATTTATCGCTGTACACATAATTGTTTTAATTGTAAGCTGTGTGAAGAAATGCAAAATCTTGATGTGTGCCCTTTCTTTTGTCTGTTTTCAAAATCTGTATAGTGTTGGGAAATTCTGCGTGTTGTTGTCTGTGTTTACGCAAAATTTTAAGGTTAACAGCCACATGTTGAGCCGTTTGTTGTGTTCTGTATATTTGATTGAACTTTGCAGGAGTTGTCGTCATTGCATCTGATGGATATTGGTCACCTCCACCAACAATGTTAGTTTTCTCCTTAAAGACTTGCTACCAGTTGGTTTCGTACATATGTTTGTAAACAAACGAAATCCATCACCAAGGAATACGCTGATTTTTTTCCGGATCAATTCTTACAGCAGCCCTTGTACTTTGTGTTTGTGTTATTTGTTTTGCACAAATTTTGAATGCCCTCCTTTGCACATCAATTTTGAACTTTTGTTTCAATTACGTCCATTTGATTACATCTTCACTGTTTTGTATCAGAAAATATGCATATACGTGGCAACTGTATTTTTTGTTGTAGTCAACTTATAACTTTACTGAACTTACATAATCTGAATCAATTGACATTACAATCTTTGTTTTAAAAATGACAAACGCATTAGAATTTGACCGAAAATGTCCACGAAATGAAATGGACTGTCACAATTTAGGTAGTTTAAAGTGCATCGATCAAATTAGACACGGAGAAAATGTGTACACCACCCCTGTAATTTTCCCTTCAATCTAATTTGTATGATTTGCTCTTTCATAAGGGGAAGGAAAAGATTGAAGACAATTGCCGAACAACATATCCAAATGTCTGACACTATCGCTGGCTCTTGTCGAAAGCGGCCAGTTGCACCATTCATTTGTTACAGGTACTAGTTTTTATTTTGACAATCTGGAATTACATTTTCGTACTGAAATTACGCGCGCTCGTCGAAGTCAGTTTGTGATGTTTCAAATTGGTTTTGTTCCGCATGTCTGAAAATGTTTAATTGGTGTCGATTCAGTCCCGGATGTACGAAAGCTGTCTTATGCCGATTTCAGGGCCAGCGTTGACATAAAAACTTGCATATATATATATATTATATTGTATTCATATTTCACATTTAGTGATGATAAGCTTGACGATGCTTGCATGCAGCCAGCAAAATTCAAGGAAATGCAAGGGCCAGACAACACTCGACGAAAATGGTGAGTGTGAAATCTGTATTCTCTATAATACAGTATGATGGAAAACAATCGCTGGGTTTGCTATCCACACGTTGTATTGAATGGTCGTAGTGGGCTTGTGATTGTTCGCGTTTGTAGGATTGTGCATGTAATAGTCACCTTCCTATTGTTTTTGTAAATTCAATTCGTTGTAAAAGTCCAGCTACGTTTCGTCGCTGACTTTTTGCTGCAACTGTTATTTGTATTTGCAATCTTATTTAATTAGCCAACAATGCACGCGGAGTGCGTTTGGCATAAAGTTGTAGTTACAGTAATTTTGGACTCATAGTTGTTACTTGTCTTGTACGTCTGTCATTTTCTTGGTTTAAAGACTAGAAAGGAGATTGGGGAAAGGTGGAAGGCACTCCCCTCTGATGAGAAAAAGAGGTTTGCGAAATGGTTAAGGCGAGCGCTGAGGAACACGCCAATGTAGTACCATGTGCACCGAAGTTCTGAAAAGGTCATTACGTACTTCATGTTTTCGTAATGCATTTGGCTAGGTCCTGTTTGCTGACTATTTTGTTGGTTTTGTATTTTTTTATTAATTTAAGGGTAAAAAATGTGCAGGGTAAAAGGCAACTCCGCAATATCATTGAAGTCAATTGTTGAGCTAGTTAACCGGTTCAACGAAGCACAAAAGCAGGCAGTCATTTGACATTGGGTTTGCTGCCTCCTTGGGGATGAAGTGTACACGTATAGATCACGACTTGTGCGCATGGTTGGTACAGAACTTCGATCCTGACAGTAGTTCATTGAATGTTCATGGTTGTCAAGTCAGGCTCACGTTGCAAGGCAGTTAATGTTTTATTGGGAAACGGTGTGAAGGCGATGACGTGCAGTTGGCTGGGTCATTAGGAACATATCCCAATATCTACGATGAGGTTCGAGTTGTTAACGGAGTCATTCCTTTGAACAAGTCGAAGACTTTATCTGACGCGAGACTGCTGGTGCGGAGGACGAGTTTCGGCAGAAATTTGCAACTGTTACGTTGTTGGGGGCATGTTTGTGTCCTACCCACAATGACCGGGTTGAAGCCATTCGTTTCGATTCATGGCGTGAAAGGACGTGAATCGTTATGCGAGCTTGTAATTGGGGAAAGTTGACAACTGCATTCCTTCACAACGGTTTTTCGCAGTATAAAGGGGGCATCGGGTGCAACCTGGATGTGTTTCCTGCTAATGGTATTGCCAATAAACTTGATTTTTTTTTTCCATTGTCCCCTCAATGTTTTTTCATTGCATTTGTTTCTGTCATGGTTCAACAAAATTGGGCCTTGATTGAGGACATACAATGGTACCTGCTTTGTGAGTACGACCAAACAACACTCTTCCTGGACCAAGTTGGTACTGCAGAAATAATTTTTTGTGTGACTACCGTCACATGAATTTAAAGAACAAAGAGTACAGGGCAAAGTATGCCGAACCTCAATGGAGGAGTATAAATGTTATGCCAAAAATTCTTACACAAAAGGAGTAACTTTTCAAAAATGGTGTAAGCCCTGCCACGAAAAGGTGTAAGCTTAAGCTAAATGTGTAAATATTTTGTTTTTTTTATCACAAATGCTATAAGTGACTTCCGACGAAGCTTTAAGTTGCCGCTCACAAACGGTAAAAATTCTTACACAAAAGGAGTAACTTTTCAAAAATGGTGTAAGCCCTGCCACGAAAAGGTGTAAGCTTAAGCTAAATGTGTAAATATTTTGTTTTTTTTATCACAAATGCTATAAGTGACTTCCGACGAAGCTTTAAGTTGCCGCTCACAAACGGTACAATTTCTTGCACAAAAGGAGTAACTTTTCAAAAATGGTGTAAGCTTAAGCAAAATGTGTAAATTTTATGTTTTTTTTTTCACAAATGCTATAAGTGACTCCCGACGAAGCTTTAAGTTGCCGCTCACAAACGGTAAAAATTCTTGAACAAAATGAGTAACTTTTCAAAAATGGTGTAAGTATTTTCACGAAAAGTATGAAGGAGTAAAATTTCAAAGTGTTCATAACCACAAATGGAGTAACAAAGTGCTCATTTCAAAATGTTCGTAAACACAGAAGGAGTAACATCAAGTGTTCATTTCAAAGTATTCGTAGTAAACACAAAAGGAGTAACATTTCGTGTTCATTTCAAAGTATTCGTAGTAAACACAAAAGGAGTAACATCAAGTGTTCATTTCAAAGTATTCGTAGTAAACACAAAAGGAGTAACATCAAGTGTTCATTTCAAAGTATTCGTAGTAAACACAAAAGGAGTAACATCAAGTGTTCATTTCAAAGTATTCGTAGTAAACACAAAAGGAGTAACATCAAGTGTTCATTTCAAAGTATTCGTAGTAAACACAAAAGGAGTAACATCAAGTGTTCATTTCAAAGTATTCGTAGTAAACACAAAAGGAGTAACATCAAGTGTTCATTTCAAAGTATTCGTAGTAAACACAAAAGGAGTAACATCAAGTGTTCATTTCAAAGTATTCGTAGTAAACACAAAAGGAGTAACATCAAGTGTTGGAGTGGCTGCTCTGTCGATCAGTGTCCATCTACGTCTCTATGTCTGTTGATCTCAGTCTATCTCTCTCTCTCTCTCTCTCTCTCTCTCTCTCTCCGTTGCTCTATATTAAAAACCGTTCTCTTTTACATTGACATACTTGGTTGGATTTGGACTTGGAGTCGCTATTCGAAGCCCTCCCAGACTCGTCGTCTCTGAGACGGAGTTCTACTCAGAGAAAGGCCAAGCCCTCCGAAACGCCATTCTCTCTCACATTGCCATTATTTGAACAAGACAAATACAGTGTGCTTGGATTTTAGGAACTTCCAGGTTTTGGGGGGGAAAAACGGAACTTACACGTTTTGTGAAGTTACTCACATCCCTTGTGAAAAAACTTACACTATTTGTGAAAGGTTACACATTTGTGAAATAA